AAGGAGATGCGGGGTATTTACAGTCTCCAAGTGGTGCGTTAGCAGCAAGGATGTGGCCTCACAGTAATGAACTCGGCATGTTCAGTAGTCGTCAGGGATCGCCCTGTGGGGAAACGGGAAATGACTGAGACTTAATTTTGTAAGCAGGAAAAATAAACCAATATTATCTCATAGGCTTTGTGTGGTGAATTTTACATCCGTGTCTCGGAAACTGTGGGTGTTTATATCATGATTCTCTGAAATTATCTTATTTTTCTAACTCAGATCTGTTTAGGTAATTAATTAATCTGTGTAGTAAATGTCACAGCTGAATGCTAGTCTTATTTCAATTTTCTCAATGAAAACAGATTTACCTGCTCAGTGAGACAAAGAACTTGATTACCATTCAGAATTTTTTTCTTTTTCCTAATGTCCCTTTCTAGATACAGTTCTGCGATAGTACAGTTCTGGTCCAGAGAGAGGTCAAAGGTGCTTCCTCAGCCTCCTGCTTGGATCAGATTCAGATGATCTTGGCCTCGAGGCCGCTGTGGGGTGGAGGGCGACGATGACATGTCTCCAGCTCCGTCCTGCACCCTTAAAGGCTGCGTCCTCCCTGTCTCTTCATCTTGGTTTCTCTCACCTGCTTTCAAAACCCCTGGCCACCCTCTTCCTTCCCACGGTGTGTCTCCAGTCCTTCAGAAACTCTGTGGCCACGCTGTGTCCTGCTGGCTGCCAGTGGGGACTACAGAGGAGCTGGTACCCAAGGGTGCAGGCACCCAGGTCCTGGCATCCGCTTGTGTTCCCTGGCCGTCTTGCCCGGGTCTTCTCCACTCTCAGCGTCCCCGTCGCAGCCTGGGCTGCCCCTGCTATAGTCAGAGAAGCTCGTCACTCAGCAGATTACGCACGGAGTGCCTGCCTCGAGTCAGAGCGCGCCCACGGTGCGCAGGGAGGAGGCAGCTGACAAAACAGACTCCTGTCCTCCTGGAGCCCACCTTCCGGTGCGAGGGTGACTCACGCACATTATGCTTACGGGCTCTGAGGTGCCTTTCGGGAGAGTTGGTCTGTTCATCTGTACCAGGGGTGACAGGCTGACCTGGGGAGGTTGGCTCCCGAGTGGAGGAGTGAATGAGGCGAGGGCGCCAGACTCACGGGAACTGGGGGACGTGTTGTAGGCAGAGGAGCAGGGCTAGAAAGGCCTGAGGCCAGCAGCAACCTTGGTGTCTGAGGGGCAGAGCACGTCTGAGGATGGGAGGGGAGGGGTGAGCAGTGGCCCCCCCTGGGCTCAGGGCCTCTGTCATCCTCTTCAGGTAATGTCTTTCCATCAGCACTTCGACCTTGTTCTGGGTGTGGGTGTCTGTGCCTTGGCTTCCTGACACTACTTTCTGCTCTTTGGGAGCTTGTCCTGCTTCACCTGGGCTCCATACCCCACTGGCAGGTGAGGACTTGATCTGGGTCTCCACTGATTAGCACATTGCAGCTTTGTGGCCACTGGATCACGAGACCAGTGAGACAGTGAAGTGTGAGCTGTGAATGATGGAGAAGGGTCTGCTGTTCTCATTAGTTTAATGCGAGGTCTGTATGCTGCACATGATGACCATAGCCGCCCTGACTGCCTGCTGGAGCCTGTCTGAGACCCGAACCCTACAGGGTGTGCTGCCGAGACAGACACAGACTGAGTCCGTGATGTAATTTCAGGCCTTGAGTCAATCCATTCCTGAAACAGGAATATACCTTGGATTTTCTGTAAGTCACTGGTAAGCCAGCTTTTGCGGGGTTTAGCAACAATGATTTTTTTCGGTCATTTGCACCAAAATGAGCTCTACCAAACTGATACAGGATTGATAGGAGATGCTGTGGGGAGTTGACCGGAGCACAGACGGATCTAAACCCTGCTCTGTGACCTGGGGCCAGGCCTTCCCTTACCTAGGCAGCGCCTCCTCACCTGTGAGAGGCAGCACGTTCCTTGGGGCTGCTGTGAAAATGAACTGAAAAGAGATGCCTTTGGAAGCACATAGTCAGTGCTATTAAAGTGTCTGCTGCTGTTACTATGTTTTCCCCCACTTTGTGAAGTAAGGTGTCTGAAGCTAGACTCTGTTAAGTGACTTCCCTTGAGATCAGACACCGGGGTTTTAAGGCGCAGCGTCAGCAGTCACTCATCCATCGGAGAAGGCATTTCTGAGTGCCTGCTATGCCCCCAGCCCTCCGCCCATGCTGCTGCATGGACAAAGACCGCGAGCCCTGCAAGAAGAGAAGTTGCTATTTGAACTTGATTATTTTCCTTGTTCTATGACAGGGTCCTATGCCCAGTGGGTGGTTAATCAGTGGTGCCGACTAACCTTCCCTGACACCGCTCAGTCCCCAGGGAGGAAGGGTGTTTTCTGAAGAGTCTTCACTTGGGGCATCAGTGACTGGCATAGATGGAATCTGGGCTTCCTGGGCCGGTGTTCCCCGGCTGGTCTGGTGGCCCCTCTGCCCGGCGGGGTGGCTGAGCCTGCAGCCAAGGCCTGGAGCCGCCCGCTATGCAGCTTCCCCGAGCATCCGCCTCAGCAGCTTGCTTTTGGTCTCATGATAAATTCATTACCAGAAAATGAAGCTGGAGTTTCCTAGTGACATAAAATATTGATGAGAGAAATAAGGACGGAGATACACGAGCCAAGGCTGCTCATAGGCCCGGTGCGCCCTGTTCTGCTGGGTCTGCAGACACTTGTTCTTGCTCCTTTTTGATGTGCTCGGGCGGGGTTTTGTCTTCTTCGTGGGATCCGTGTCGCAACACGAGTGGAGCGCGCCAGCCCGTGCGTCACAGCAGAGTGGGAAAAATAGACATGTCTCCTGGTTACTGTCAAAACTACGAAGCCCGATGCTGCCACTTCACAACCTCCGTGGCAGGTTCTTGGCACCCTCGGGGCGGCGTGTGGAAACACATTGGCCCGCTCAGAAGCTGCTAATGGCTTCCAAGTGCCGTGGAGTAAATCCTGAGCTCCTCGGGGTGCTGTTCAAGGCCCACCTGGGGCCTGGGTCCTCCTCCAGGTTCCCTGGACCCTGCCCTTCAGCACATATGCTCTGTCTGAGCCGCTGTGCTCTTTCCTGCCATGAAACGCCCTCCCTGGCTGCTCAGGGATCAACTCCAACGCCGCTTCTTTCACGGGATGTCTTCCTTGCTGTTCTCCTGCTCACGCTGATGCAAAGGAAAAATGAAAGCAACAAATGCATTGTTGGAGAGCGCAAGGAGAAACGACTCTGCCCCCGTCCCTCCTGGTGGCGTAAAGTGTCAGCTGTAGGTTAAGATCCTTGAGCAGGTTCGCAGCTTTTGACCCAGCGGTTCCACGTCTAAGATCATTCTAAGGGAGCAATCAGGGAGGTGTCAACACTAATGCAAGTAGGAGGCCATTTGTCACAGTGTTCCTTAAAATAGTGCAACATCAGAAGGAATCTCAAAGCCCTCATTAACTCAATGCCTCATTAACTAAGCTGTGGTATGCTTAGTGATAGTGATGTTCACCTGCTTAAAAGTCATGGGGTAGCGACCTCCCTGGTGGTTCAGTGGTTAAGACTTTGCCTTCCAGTGCAGGCAGTGTGAGTTCAATCCCTGGTTGGGGAGCTCAAATCCCACATTTTTGGCTCGTGGCCAAAAAACCAAAACATAAAACAGAAGCAGTCTTGTAACACATTCAATAAGACTTTAAAAATGGTCCACATCAGAAAATCTTTTTTTTTAAAAGTGGTGGTGTAGAGAAGTAGTTGATGGTTTAGAGAAATGTTTGTGATGTTTCTGTAAGTGAAAGAATGTGAAAGTGTTAGTTGTTCAGTTGTGTCCTATGCTTTGAAACCCCAATGGACTGTAGCCTGCCAGGCTCCTCTGTCCAGGCTCCTCTTGCTCCAGGCAAGAATACTAGAGTGGGCAGCCATGCCCTTCTCCAGGGGATCTTCCTGACCCAGGGATCGAATGCAGGTCTCCTGCATTTCAGGTGGATTCTTTACCATCTGAGCCACCAGGGAAGCCAAAAGAAATAGAAATAAAACTGGATGAAGTGGGTGATGGGGGGAGACAGAGAGAGAGGTCTGAACCTCCAGTAAGCTTTGGAAGGGTAGGTGTCAAAATCCTACCAGCTGGGCATTGTGAGCCCATGTGTGATGTGTGTGTGATTTTCCCCTTACTATCCAGTCCACAGGCTGACCTTACGATCCCGTCCTCCTGGTGAACGCGTCGTCACCCATCTTCACTGTGATCAGCTTCCCTGGCTGTGCTGCCCTGGTTGCAGAGGGCTGCATACCTGATCCTTCTCTTGCTTTCACTCTGTTATTACTAAACACACTCACCGCCCTGACCGTCCCCCCAGGGGCTGCCTTCGTATTGTTTTCTCACATCGGCAGCTCTTCTCTGAACTTTCTCCAGCCCAGGCTTAGGCTTCAGTGAAGGTCTGACCGCGTGGGTTTTCCAGTGTTGTTCTCATATACTTCAGTGTCTGACCATGTGAGGCCGTCCTTACCATTTTAATGCCTATGAGGGTTTAGCAGCAGGAAGTGTTCTCCAACGAAGGTTTTCTGCCGTCTTCTCTGACATGTATACATCCAGGGTGCTCCGGGAGGTCATCTTAGACAGGGTTCAAAACCAGGACATGTACCCCTGTCTTCGGGAACTGGCTCCCACAGTTTCAGAGTCTAAAAGCTCCAGGACCCATGGTCGGCAAGCTGGAGGCCCAGGCAGGGTCCAGGTGTCAGCCTGAGCTTGAGGCAGGATAAGACCGTGGCCTGGCCCACAGTCAGGCTGGGTGGGAACTTGGGGGGTGGTTCCCTCTTTGTCAGCCTTCTTGATCTGCTCTGGCCTGCAGTCAACTGGCTGAGACCCGCCCACGTGAAGGAGGGTGGCCTCCTTGGCTCAACACACCACTCCAGTGACCATCCATGGGGAACACACTCACAGATGCGGCCAGAAGAACGTTTGGCCAGGGCCCTATCAGGCTGATAGCCAGAATTAAGCATCGCAGACGTCCGGTTGCTCACTGAGGCTCTTCTGGCCACAGGCCACGTGCATGTACCGAGGTCCCCGTTCTCCCCAGTGTGTTCAGAGCCCTGGACCGGATCAGCTGCTCACGGGAGCTGGACCCACAGGAAGAGGGCTGTGGGGTCTGCAGACACGTGAAGACCCATCTGAGGCCGTGTGTGTCTTAAGTGGCAGAGCCAGGATGAGCCCCAGGCCCAACGTCACGCTGCCCTGGCCTTTGTCCTGGAGGAGGGTGGAGGGTGAGGAGACCCTGGTCGTCCTGTGCTTTGGCGGAGAGGTGCGCCCTGTCTCCTTCCCGTGGATTTGCCGTGTCCTTGTCTCCTCCGTCCCCTGGTTTCTGACCGTTGCCGTGTGCTCTGCTGGTTCCCGCCCCGTCAGTGCTCTGACCTGTGAGCATCGCTCCCTGTGAGCGCAGACGCACTGTGGTGTCGGGCAGTGTGGAGCACAGCTGCTGATTACATCTGTGAGAGTTCGCAGAAGGCGGGAGAGGAGTGCTTCCGGCCCTGGGACGCCCGTGGCCCAGGGAGCCTCCGGCCTGTGGCTGACTTGGGGACTGCGGGCCTGGCCAGTCCTGAGGAGGGAGGGCCTGGGCCCCCTAGGGGCCTCTGAGTCCTCCAGTCCGTCTGTTCTGTCTTGCTGTCGGTTGTTTGCTGTCTTGCAGGCGTTCCTTGTCACGGCGTGCTGTCCTTTGGAGTCCATGCCTGGCCTGTACCGAGATCGCTCTCCCAGTAGCTTTGCAGGTTCGTGCCCTGTTCACACAGCAACCTTCTGGTCCAGTGCCAGACCCCCATATCTGAGCAGAAAGCGAGTGTCACAAACTGAGGAGGCTGACTCTGAGGCCAGGAGCACAGTGACCGCCCAGGGCCCCTAAGGTCCATTTGTACTAAAGAATCAGACAAAGAGGGCAAAGATGTTTGGTTTCAGTTACCTGGGAAATAAGCAGGTATAGCTCTGGATTATGTGTTTTGGGGTGTTTGCAGTTACCTTGATTGTTGTTGCTTTTCAACTTTTGCAGGTATTTTATTTGGTACTTTTGTAGGTGTTTGTCTTACTCCAGAGCATCATGTGAAGATGTGTTCCTTTTCCCTCCTCCACCCACTTCTCCGTGCTCCTTCCTCCCCTTATTTCTTCCAGTTAGAAGCAGAGGCCCTTCCACCTGTGGCTGGGCAAAGTCTTGGCGTTCTCTGTCCACCAAAGCCAAATAAATATTGTGGAGACAGAGTCTGGAGGAAGTAGAAAGGTGGCTTTGATTCTCAGCCGGCAGAGAGGGGAACCCAGTAGGCTCTCGCCTCAAGAACTGTGCCCCCCACTCCAGGAGGAGTCTAGGGGCTAATATAAGATGAGGGCTTGCAGTCAGGAGTCGGTGATGAGGCTCAAGGGTGATAGGATCTTGAGTTCTTCCTCTTGCACTGTTTCAAAGACAGTCACAGTCTGGCATCAGTAACCCAGTAATTGAATCTGGCAGTTTGGTGGCCCTGCAGCCTGCTTTCTGATATGTAACTACAAGGGGAATGGTGTTGTAAGGGTGAACACCAGATACAGGATGTATTTAGCATAGAGTCAAAGGAAAATAGGTTTGAAGTATAGCTCCTGCAGAGTTAGAGGGCAGGGGAGCAAACTTGGTTACAGACATTCAGAGTTAGAAGCAGTTAAAGTTACAAAACTAGGAATGTTCAGGCTTGCTCCCTGTTTTCTTTATCTTCTTTGTTCTCAGGAAAGGGAAAGAAAAGAAAAAATTCATTCCTCTTTTTTTCCTTTTTGCTGCAACATGCCTTAGGGGGCCCATGCTTATTGGGGGGGGTGGTCAGAGAGCTCTGCACAGGCTCCATGTCTCCCCTCTTTCCTGGCCAGGTGGGAGAGTGACATTGGGGTCACCAGATGGGATGGTATATATAGAAAGACAGGATGGAGCAGACTGAAGCATCTTGGAACTTTGGAGCAGGCAGGCCTGGAATCAGATCCATGCTCCGAGGTGCATAGAGGTTGCCCCCGGCTGAGGGCCCCGTGTGGCACCTGGGGCACAGGTGTGCAGTGAAGATCAGTCTCCAGCAGTGGTGGAGAGCTTCTTAGGGCTCTGGAGAGCCCTTGCGGGCGGTAGGCCCAGGAAAGAGTGGCTGAGAGGGGAGGGGGGTCGAGAGGAGGATCAGGCCCTCAGGACTGCAGCCTGTCTTCTGGTCCATGCAGTGGTGCTGTGTCCAGTCCCACTGGAGAGCAAGGCCTGGCCTCCCCAGACATGCCCCCGCCACCGCCTCGGCCCTAGTGAAGGGGAGGCTGGTGCGTGGTCTGTGGGGGCGACTGTGGCGGGAGTCCTGTGTACCGGGGAGGACAGTCCCATTCTGAGTTACTCACAGAATCTCTGCAGGGTCAGACTACAAGCTCTGATTTAAAAACCTCTCAATGCCGCCTTTAAAAGGCCACTAGTATTTTCAAAGGAGGGCAGTTGTATTTGAAAGATGCATTTGAACCACAGTCTTTAAAGGCCTGAGGCAGTCAAAAATAGATGGTGGCCGCGTTTCTCCAGGCTGTCCTGCATCAGGACGTTCTTAGAATTCCCAAGTTGAAAGCCTTGGCCGTCCTCTGCCTCCGGGGCATGACTGTGCCCCCTCCTTCCCTCACCCCTGCCCCCCTCCCCCACTGCTGGTTCTAATTCCTGCCCAACGTCCCTGGTGGCTCTTGGCCTCCGAAGAGTGGTCCTGATGCTTCACCGAGCCTGAAGCTGAGCCCCAGGGCTGCCTTGCTTCCAGAAGAGGGTAGTGAGCTGGGCGTCTGCCGTGTCCCTGAAGACGAAGGAGGAAGACTCCGCCCGAATCCCCTGAGACTGGGGGCTGTGTCCCCGCCCCGGGGGGGCAGAGGAGGCTGGGCTGCTGGGGACAGGGTGGCAGGACCCCCCAGCCCTTTGTCCACATGTCGTGGTGGACAGAGCCCCAGGCCCAGCTGAGGGCCTCATGTTGAGTGTCTCCAGCTTCCCCCGCAATCCCGTGAAGTCGGACTGTGATCATCCCAGTCCTATTATTATCTCAGTTCACAGATGAGGGAGGTGATGCCTGCATGTGGTTATGTGACTTTCCTCCAGTCTCGGTCTCACGGCCAAGCGGGGACACTTGTCCGTGGAGCCCTGGCGGTCGGGCCCCAAGCTCCCTGGCCCTGCTGCTGCAGGCTGAGGGTCGGTAGATGTTTTCCATGAAGGAGCAGATGGTGAGTATTTCAGGACAGGCAGAGTATGTCTAGAGAGTCCATATAAGCACTGCTGTCCGCCTCTATAGTGTGAACATTGTGTAGACCACACAGGAATGCGTGGGCAGGGCTGGTTTCGGCTGCAGGCGGTGCCCTGGTCCCTGCTCCGTGGGGTGGATGGAGAGAGGGGGGCCGAAGCCTGAACTATATGCTCCCCTGCCCACTGAGCCATCCTGGGCTCACTCTCGTCTTCTGCAGGACGGGAGTGGTAGCATCTCTCCGGTCATCGCTGTAAGAGGATTTAATGAGATAGTGCGTGTGGAATCTCCACCTGGCATCTGGCACGTAAATATCTCTCAATAAAGGGAGTATTTTTTCTCCCTACCTAATGGCTGTCCCCAAGGAGGGAGTCACTGGTTGTAGAGCCCAGGGCAGGAGTAATAACCAGCACTAGGACAGTGGTCTTCGGTGTGCAGAAGGCCTGCAGAGCTCTGTTGCCTCTGGGAGCCTCCTGAAGTTGGCCTGCCAGTCACAAGGCTGCCTCTGTCCTGCTGAGGCGGGGATGGAGAGATGGCCTGGTCTGCCCGCCGGCCGGGATCTCACCTGGATCCCACGTCTCGTAACTCCAGCCCCAGTCTGCAGCTGCCTCTGGGCCTCTGTGCAAGCCGGTGTCTGTTTCTCTGTGTAAAGTGGGGATAATAAAGACATCTCCTCCCTAAGCTGGGAATTCCAGTGATTTGATGTGAAGAAATCTCAACTCTCACCCCTAGGGAAAAACTGGTTAACTGCCCTTCTGGGACCCTCTGTTCTGTGGAATGAATCACTGCTGTTCCTCTGGGCAGTCAGGCAGCTCTGTCCCTCCTTGGGATATAGCTGTAAGCACTAGGGTGGTGGTGGCAGTCAAGGGAAAGTGGCCCAGGTGCCTCTGTCACATGGGGTGCTAACTGCACCCGCGGGGCGGGCCCAGGTTCCCCCCCCCCCCCACCTACAGTAAGCCCACTGTGTGATCTGCGCTGTGTATTGACTCCTGGGGAGCCAGGCTTGGGTCCAAGCATGCCCCGGAGCACTTGCCCCGTTTTTTTGGGGAATGCTGGCAGTAGGGCAGATAGGAGAACTGAGTGAAGAGCTGGAAAATGGCCCAAATCTTTTCCTCCAAGGCCATGGAGGGAAGGGGTTTAATATACAAAGCTTTTGATTTGTAACATGATGAGACTCTTCCTGCCTTTTGCGGTCTATTCTCTGTGGTGTCGGTTTAGAGGCTCCACTTTGCTGTCTCTAGTGAGTCCTTTTAGTTCAGTTCAGTTGCTCAGTCATGTCCGACTCTTTGCGACCCCATGGACTGCAGCATACCAGGTTTCCCTGTCCATCACCAAATCCTGGAGCTTACTCAAACTCATGTCCATTGAGTCAGTGATGCCATTCAACCATCTCATCCTCTGTTGTCCCTTTCTTCTCCCACCTTCAGTCTTACCCAGCATCAGGGTCTTTTCAAATGAGTCAACTGTTCACATCAGGTGGCCAAAGTATTGGAGTTTCAGCTTTAGCATCAGTCCTTCCAATGAATATTCAGGACTGATTTCCTTTAGGTGAGTCTGTTAATCCTCTGATGCCCAGGTCTCCACACATTTGGATGTTGGAGCTGCTTTGGAAATCAGTAAGTTAATGAATGAAAGTCTCCTGTGAACTGTAGGGTGTGGGTCTTGTGTGTCTGTCAACCCATGCGTGTTGAACAGTGACTACAGAGTCACCCTCTGGAGGTGCGGCTGGGAAGTGCAGCAGGTGGCCCCCAGTCCTCCCAGGGGTATGCACACCTTGGGTTTCCCATTTTAAAAATTGCTGTTTGGTCGTTGCTTCCCTGCCTTGCTCTTGGGGAACTTTCCCATCTCCCCTCATCTCCAGCAGTCCTGAGTGCTGGCTGAGATGCTGCAGTTCCAGTTTGGTGGACACGGTCAAGTGACCACAGTGTCTCTGTGCTGCTGCCACGGGTGTGTGTGTTTGTGCGTGTGAGTCTGCACCCGAGGTGTGACTCATACAGCAGAAAAATTAATAACTCAGTGACTTTTCAGCACATTCAGTATGATCATCACACCCCTCTAATTGCATAACATTTTCATCACCCCCAAAACAAACTCCACCTTCATCATGAACAGTCATACCCTGTTCTCCCAACTCCTGCTTTCTGCCTCTGTGGACTTGGCTGTCCTGGGCATTTCGTGTATGGTATCATCCAGCATATGGCTTTTGTGACTTACTTCTTCCACTCAGCATACTGCTGTCAAGGTTGTGGCAGCATATGTCAGAGCTCCATCCCTTTTCATGGCTGAATGTTATTCCATGGCATGGATGGACTACGTTTTGTTTATCTGGACATTGGGGTCATTTCCATGTTTTACTAGAATGAATAATGCTGCTGTGAACATTTGTGTACATTTTTTTGTTTGGACGTATAATTTCAGTTCTCTTGAGTACATAACTAGAAGTGGTTATCCTATGCTTGTCTATACTTGCCTTTTTGAAAACCTGGCAAATTGTTTTCCAAGGAGGCTGCACCATTTATAGCACCATTAACAGTGGGATGTGGTTCCACCAACTCCTGTTATTGTCTGACTTTTTGATTCTAACCATCCTGTTGTTGTACAACTCTTTTTGACCCCCTGGACTGCGTGGGGTTGACCCCAGGCTTCCTGTCTTTCACTGTCTCCTGGAGTTTGCTCAAACTCATGCCCATTGAGTCGGTGATGCCATCCGAATGTCTCATCCTCTGTCACCTCCTTCTCTTCCTGCCCTCAGTCTTTCCCGGCATCAGGGTCTTTTCCAGTGAGTCTGCTCTTCGCATCAGGTGGCCAAAGTATTGGAGCTTCAGCTTCAGTTACAGTGTTGTTCAAACCTGTTTCTTTGTTGATCTTTTGTCTAGTTTTTCTATACATTATTGAAAGTGGAGAATTCAAAGCTTCAACTTTTATTGTTTCTCCCTTTAATTGTCAGCTTTTGTCTCACGCATTTTGGGGCTTTGTGATTGGGTTCTCTGTCATATTGTTCAGTGCTGCCCCTCAGAGCGTCCCTTTTTGGGCCTGAGCAATCTGTTTGTGATCCTGTACTTGTTTAGATCCTCGATAGCTTTCTCTAGACTCAGTGCAGTCAGCATGTGTCTGAGCGTCCACCCAAAACTCTGCGACTTGTTCAGTTCTAGAATTTGCTTGTGATTGATTCAGTCTTTCTATTAAGTAGGGCTTGTAAATGATGCTGGGCAAGAGGTCATGGATTTTTGGAAATTGAATAGCATTTGGCTATTATTTAGTCTGTTCTCTCTCTCTCTCTTTTTTTTCAGGTCGACATGGGGCCTGGCTCAGAGAACTGACACGACCTGTCCCAGGTCACTGCGAGTTAGAGGCAGGGACTGCGCTGGACCTGAAGGTACTTGGCTCTTCGTTCCCTCCTCTTTTGTTAACATGCCCACATCTACATGTTGTGATTCTGTGGGTTCTTGGTGCATGTCTCTAGGCTTGTGCTTGACTGGAGTCTCCCCTGGGATTCTCGTCTCTGGGTATGAATATGTATCCGTGTCTGCAACCCCCGCCCCCCGCAGCCTGCCTGCTTCCCTCTCACGGACTCTTAAGTGGGGCTGGGCTGGGAGCACAAAGCTGAGCACAAATCTGCTTGTCAGGACATCTGTCTAAGTGATGTTGGTGCACAGCCAGCTTTGTACGTGAGATGCACCGGGCACTTCCTTACTTGCCCTGTGGTTTTATTACAGGCGTTCTTTTAGTAAAAATTTTCTCAAGAATAGCTTTTTATAATCTTTTGAGCCAGTTTGTCATTAGTTCCATTTATGCCTGATAGTCGCAATTCTGTGGATGGTTCTCTTCCTTCTCTTTCGTGCAGCGAGTGAAGCGTGGAGGGTAGCGAGTGTTTCCCAGTCCCTCTTTAGAAAGACGTCACAGAGGATTCTGGTGACAGCGGGAGGGGAACTCAGGCGGTTTGTACTCCCTTCATGCCTTGTCATGTGTGACTTTTCCTTTTCGTGCTCACTGCAGGAGATGCAAGGTTTCAGGAGTCCTAGAGAGGTTGGGAGACCCTGTCATCCCTCTGTAGGCGGGTTCTGTAAGTCAGGGCTTTATTCCTCGGATCTGTGGATGCCTGGAAATGCGAGGAGGGCTTCACAGTGTCTGTGACTCTCTAAACGGTTAGTCTGCATTTTGTACACACATCCTTGTGTTACTTCTGAGCAGGATTTTACTGGTTTTATCAGGCTTGCGAGGTCCCAGGACGCTCAGGAATGGGGTGTGTTTTTGACGCTGGCAGGGTGCTGGCAGGATCAGCCCAGGTGCCAAGTCACTGCCTGCCATGGGCACAGGGGAGTCCTGGTTCATCACTCAGGACCACTGTCCCTAAGATGTGGACGACTGAGGAAGGGCAGAACCGTAGTGACCAGTCATGATTCCTGTCAGCAGATAGCTCCTTTCTCTGGTGAAAGAGAGGGCAGACACATGGAAGAGGATGTGAGGAGAAGGAAATGTGAACACTGAGGCATGCTGACAGTATTTGTAAATTATCAATAGCTATGTAGCTCACTGACACCTACAGTGGGGAGCACACGTGAATGGCATGTGTTTATGCCAAGCTTGATGGACTCCAGAAAGGTAGATGCTAAGCCAGGAAGGTGACTTGGACAGGGGAGCAGCAAACTTTTTCTGCAAAGAGGCAAATGGTAAATAGTCTAAGCTTTGTGTGCTGTGCAGTATTGCAACTACCCCACTTTGCTGTTGTCACACTAGAGCAACTAGAGATGTTACATAAATGGGTCAGTATAGCTGAGTTCCAATTAAACGTTATTTATGGACACTAAAATTGGAATTTTATATGCTTTGCACTTTTCACAAAGTTTTTTCTGCTTTTAATTTTGATTCAACCATTTAAAAAGGTAAAAGCCATTCTGAACCTGTGGGTTATACAAAAACAGTTGGTGACTTGCATTTGGCAAGAGGCTCTATTTTCTTGACCCCTGACTAGGGTAACGGAGAAGCCCTGGATCTTAGAATTCAAGCTGAATAGCACCTTTCTCAAGCTTTCTGCTCTGACCAAAGCTGAAGAACCCAGAAATAAATTAGGTGGCAATTGTAATAATTGAATCTTAATGTCAGAAGGTACTTATAACTTGATTAAATCTTTTTCTCTGTTATATCTTCCCTTAATTATGCCTAGCTATTTTATGGCATTCTGCAGCTAACAAAGGGCTTGCACATAATCATCTCATTAATTTTTGTTAAAAATTACTTAAAAATTTGTTTTATTCACCAAAGAACATGAAAATACTCCTTTTCTTAAAAAAAAAAAATCAAACAGAAAAAGTGAAAGTTTCTGTTGGTTCTCTTCTCTGGTCCACCATTCTCAGCAAAGCAACTTTTTTGACTTTGCTGTGAATTCTTCCAAAACTTTCCTGGTATGTTTATGTAGGATCTGTGCAGCTAGTTGTGTGGGTGGGATTTTCATTTGCTCACTCATGTGGTAATATGTGTTTGGTCTAAAACTTGCTTTCTACTGTTGATCAGTTGCTCAGTCGTGTCCAGCTCTTTGTGGCCCATGGACCGCAGCACGCCAGACCTTCCTGTCCCTAACTATACTATTGATTTACAATAAATATATCATGAAGACAATTCCATGTCCATATAAGGAAAATACCAATTTCATTGTAACTCATGCAGGTGAGCCCATAGTTTGCTTGTATTGTAGATGGTTTACTTTTTTCTTTGTTAATGATCATTGTAATTGTTTCTCATTTTTCCTGTTATACACAGTGATACAATATCCATTAACACATGTGTGGAATGTCTCTGTGGACAGTTGTTTCCACATTAAATGTTAATGGATGTCATCTAATTGCCCTCCAGAAAGAATAAACTAGCAGTAATGTACAAGAATCCATATTTCCCTATAACTTGGCCCCTTTTTTTTGCCAGTCATGTGAGCACAATTTATGTCTCTTCACCTGTTTATTGGATGTACTTATATTCCTGTCTACAACTTAGTATTGTCATTGGTTGCAGAGGCATTTGTTTGCAGCTAAATTGATCATCTTTCCTCTTTGGCCACTTCTTTTTGTATCTAGTGTGAGAAACTAGAGTTTTGATCATAAAAAGTAAGGATTTCTGCTCAATGAGAGAAACTATAAAAGACGGATGAAATATTGATAGAGGATATTTACAAAAGAAAAGAATTGACAAGAGAATTTTATATATAGTACACACAAGTCAACCAGAAAAAATATTGGGGAACTTAATAGAAAAATGGTGGCTCAGATAGTAAAGAATCTGCCTGTAATGCAGGAGACCTAGGTTCGATCCCTGGATCAGGAAGATTTCCAGGAGAGGAGAGTGGCAACCCACTCCAGTATTCTTGCCTGGAGAAGTCCATGGACAGAGGAGCCTGGCGGGCTACAGTCCATGTAGTCACAAAGTCAGATACAACTGAGGAACCAACATTTTCACTTTCACTGGAAAATTGAGCAAAGGCTGTGGATAGCAATTCACAGAAGGGGGAAAAACACTATCAATCTCAGTAAAACGTTTCTCAATCTCCTGAGGAGTTCCAGAAACGCAAGTAAAAACAACAATTAGCTACAAAGATATACCTATTAGATTGGCAAAAATGTAAAAGTTAAATAATACTAGCTCATGTCAAGGCTGTGGGGAACTGGCAGACTCTTGCATTTTCATCAGGACTAGTCTAGTCTCCGAGTCTGCTGCAGCCATCCTGGCAGCTGTCTGGGATCCAGTGGCCCTTCTTGGTGATGCCCTGGAGAAAAGCATGCCTGAGTCTGCACAGGTTCAAGTCCTGGAGTGCTCACTACAGCCTCCTAGTGGTGACTGAGCAGCACTGCAGAGTCACCGCCAGGTGAATGGAAGGGCCATGTGACCGGCCTTAGGCAGCCCTACACGGCAGTGCAGAGTGGAGGCAGCAGGAGAGGCAGACAGGTTCCTTAGCTCACACTTTCTGTGCACATTTGTGCCATTCGTGTAAACGCCGTGTGCAAGTTCATCACAGTGGGCCCCTGGGAGGAGCGGGTGATGGGAGGGACGACCAGGGGGTACACTTGGGGGATAAAGGAGAAGCAAACTTGCGTAGATCAGTGATGATGAAAGGCCATCCCCAGGGAGTTTGATTAACTTAATTTTGAATATCTGGGGCTCATGGGGAAGAGGGAGGTCTTATTGCATGATTACAAACATGGGGTACAAACATACCCCAGAATCATTTTCAATGTTCATATGATGTGCTTGCTAGAGGAACCTTTTTATCTGTTGGAGGTTATCTTTTCTGTATGTTTTTAATAAGAGATATGACAAGTATCTTCACATCAATAGTCAATGGTTTTAACATTGTTGAAGAATCTATGCCTTCCTCACTAACTTGATATGTAACTTTTATTGTATACTAACTGCCCACGTAGATATGGGTTCCATGATTTATTTGGGTATTTTTCTATAACATTTCTATACTATTTTAGTTACAATCAATCTGTAAAATGTCCGTATGTCCCCTCAGACAAATCTCCATTCATTGTTTTTCAACATTTTGTCAGCTTTTTTTTAGACTTTTACTATGCAGATTAACTTTTCTTATCAGCTTATTCATCTCATTGAAAGTTTACAAGGACCTGTGAGACAACTTAATTTATTAAGTTTATGCACTGATTTACTGTCCATGAGCCCAGTTCTCTGTTTTCATCAGTAAAACCAGAGAGTTTGGCTCAGTCAGGTCAGACACACTTCATATAAGGCTTAGTCATAATTTTTCTTAATATGAATGTTTTTATTACAGTTTTCTAATTAGATATTGCTTCAGATACTTTCAGTGTTGATCTTAGCACCTTAGTGAACTGATGTCAATTGATTCTAATAGTTTTAAAATTTATTCTTGGGGACTTTTAGGCAGATAATTTAATAAATAAAAACAGTTTTTTTCTTTTTAGTGTTTTTCTTATTGGATATGTAGAGCCCCCATTACAATGCTGTTTGGAAATATTGAAAATGAGTGTCCTTGACAAGAAGTCTTCTGACATCACCATTCAGTATTAGACTGCCTTGCATTTTCTGGCAAATATTTCTTACTGAGCTAAGGGTAAAGACATTTCTTTTTATTCCTAATTTTATAATAGGCTCTTCTTTTTTAAGGTCAAGAATGGGTGTCAAGTTTTGTCAGGTTTTTCTTTGCATCTGTTGCAGTGATAGTGATTTTGCTTGTATATTTTAATTTTCCCCAAAACTCAGTGTGGTGGGTGTTAGCATTCCTGTTTATGGAGAAGGAAACTAAATAGCCTAGGAGTTAAGGAAGGTGCTTGGGGTTGAGCTGGTGGTATGAAGCCTTGTGCACTTGTTCCTGGACTATTCCTGAGTTCTGGCGTTCTGTGTGCAGAG